TTTTAAATATACATTTTATCTATATACATATGCTGCTAATATCTTGTAATTAATATTCCCTTTTTACAGGTACAAATTTTCTTAATGGATATCGATTTCTTCCAATATCTTCTATACACGGCACTTTAACGATATTGAAGTATATTTGTCCCATGAAATTCGCCGTTGGATGGTTAGCAGCTTTTAAACATTGATAAAGAACTTGGTCGCAAGTACAATGTGATCTGTAAAATGTTAAACACTTAAAACTTATTGTTTTATGGAAAGAACTTTGAGGCAATTAACAGAGATAATTTTTAAGGTAAAGATAATTTTAAATTTTAGCATGATAAGAAAATTTAGTAATTAATAATAATATGATATATTAATTTAAAGACACAATAAAAACTTTTTATCAAAATAGATTAATTGATTTTTTTTTTACCAATTTCTGATAAGATCTTACTTAGTGAATATTGAATAATTAGTGAGATTATATCGGGTCTGTTGGGCTCGTACTTTTATTGGACAGAGATCGTGATTACGACAACATCTGAAAAACATAAAGATTTGTCTTACTTCCCTGATATTTGTAAAAATTGGTAAATTTCTCTAAATTTCAACCTGTCAATGTGAGGTAAATCGCCCAAGTCATGATAATTTTCGGCTATGTCGCCCGTGCCGCACCATTTTGTGCCTGGAATATGTACATATTTAGTCTTTGTTAATAAATTTTACAATTCTGCGGGTGCGTTTGAAATTATAATGAACGATTAACCTGGCAGAATGCCGGAAAACAGAGTTATGGAACTTGCGGCTATGCGAGTCCCTCTACTCAATGCGTTTGTTGGCAAAGTGGACGTGGCTTCTACCTGTAATTTGTCTAATAATTCACATTGTTGCATGAGTCTCGTTATCTCCTGGAAGGATACCACTTGTGGATGTAAAGTCATTGATAAGTTTCGCAAAACTTCTGTAGCCTCGAACGGCTCACTGCAAAAATCAATGATGCGTGTCAAACATTACATATAAAAAGAAATTATATGAAAGTAATGATATATATACAGGGTGTCCTGAAATTTGCGAATCAAAATACAGTAAGAAATTCTCAAAAAATTAAATAAAAATGTTATCCATAAATTTTATTTTGAGCAATAATTTGTGAAATAATAAGGCTTATTTAATGATCAATTACGAACTCTATTTTTAGACGGATTATATTTAAACACCAAAATGCGCACTTACTAATATTACTGCACATGTGACGAATTCATGGACAGATGACCGTTTAAACATAATCTATAATTGGCTATATTTTGAACCTTTGTCAAAAACTACTGCTTCAAATAAAAATGTATATATAATTTTTTTACTTAATTTTTCACAAATTTTCTCGCTATGGTATTTTGATTCGCAAATTTCGGAACACCCTGTATATGTACATAACTAGCGAAAACCAATTTCAATTTCTAGTCTAATTATATAATGGTTTTTGTGTGCATTATTGTGATGATGACCGCACTTACTATACTTCGATTATATTACAATCATGTAATTCATTTCTTGGTCCGAGATCGACTACCGCCACTGTCTGTTCGTGATAATAAACAACTCGCATCTCGTCTTTCATAAGTGCAACGGCGCTTGGTGTAAGACCGCTCAACCCCTTAAATGTGTTTCTGAAGAAGAACGTTGGCTGCTGAGCAGTCAAGCTGCATATCGACATGACGAGGAAAGCCGTTAAGTACACCGAATACATTTTTTTCTTCGTTCCGTTTTATTATGCTATTAGTCAAGTATAACTCAGGCAAACAGAGATATAACATAAAATTTTATTTGTAAACTATCAAAACTAACAAATAAAAAATATATTCGTATCTAGAGAGTTGCACAACGTAAGTGATTTATGCCATCAATCAACAATTGATGATGGAAGTCAATTTATTGTGGATCTCCACATATCTTCGTTCTATTTATTACATTATTTGAAAATAATATGGTATGCCACGTATGTATAAATGAAACTCGTGCAATCCACGTTTGTAATTGCCGCATAATACGCGGTTTTATAATTTCTTAAATTCTTCATATCACATGTTTTAAAATTGCCTTTACGATGCACAAAGTTTTTTATTCGAAGTCCTCATACAAATATGAACATTATCTAGCCATCTGCAGAAACGTACAGCGATCTTTTGAAGAAGATTCTAAAATAAAAAGAAATATACTCACACATAATGAATCGGTTCCTTTGAAAATGTTTGCTTCAAATGAAGCCGCGAACTTACCCTATCGCGTTACTGAAATATTATTTGGCACATCATATTTTTATGGAAGAAAAACAGTAAATTTTGCAGAGATACTTTAAACTGCACGCAAAAATTGTCCATTAAAAAATGGAATTGATATCCTTAACTTAACTGATATCGTTCGCCAGAATCGATTGGTCGGATTTTTCGCGCGCGAACGGTGTATTCATAATTATAAGGCACTATCTATTAGTTGAATAACCGAACACTACAGTAGCCGATCGAATGACTGAATGTGTTAGCGTTAGTATGATATCCGTGTACAACTCCCTCCCCGATCTCGAGGTATTACCTGATGGTAGCAGTGACACTTAGTGGGGAGACCTACATTCGCAGGACTAGGGCGAAGAAAGTGGGACGAAACGGCGGAATATGGGTAGTTGTAACTGCAAGTTTACAAAATCCTACAAACTTAGAAAAAAAGAAGTAAACATTTTATCGGATTTCCTCACGATCGTAAACAAACAACTCGTCAAAAGACATTTGATAAAAACAATATATTTTGCATAAAAGTCTAAAAAAAATGACACGTATAAGACACAATAGTGTCTGAAAAAGCGACAGCGTCTTAAAAATGAAAATCATAAAAAATGTATCTTGTTTATATATTATGTAAATATATGCTGTTTGCAAATTTTTTGCGATTGAGATAGCGTGTCTCTATAAAAGAGCATTTTTGTTATACGCGATACAACAACGTGTTCCCACATTTTATAGAAAGGCACTGTAAATCTCTAAATTTCACTCGTGGCTCGTAATAGATCGTTATGTAATGTAGAGATGTTATGCGCTTTCATTGACATTTCGAAAAGGATGCTAATAAGACCAATGCCTCTCTATACTTTTATGCGTCTACAATAGAAATCGTAGCGATCTTAAGTCGTAAAAAAATTTACTAATCACAATTAATTATTCTTCTCATATTCGATGATTGATCAATTTCTAAGATTTAAGACTCTACGACCGCTAAGACTTCTCTTGTAGACCTCGCATAACTCTGTAAACGACGTTGTTTAACAGTGTCCTTGTCTTAGAGAATGGCACGAGGGATTCGATTTATTTGTAGCGCTCGCTGGATATTGAACCCCACTCGTACTCAACGTAATGCTCACGGGAGTCGCATTAGACAGCTGCAATCTGACTGGGCACTGTCTATATCCTGTAATAAAAAATGAAAACATCTTATAGTCGTGCCATACATGAAAGTAACGCATCGATAATTTCAATAATACATGTGGACTTTGGTGATAGATTATAGGAAAAAAGATTATGAAAATAGAAATGATTTGTTCATCAATATAAGACATTCACACATTCAAGTATAAGACAATTTGCAAAACCAGGTAATTTATTATACAAGTAGGTACAGATTCCGATTCAGTTCTTGGAGCGAATTCTAATCGAGTTCCACATGTTACGACAAGAACCTTCTTTTTTTATGTCTCCTGTTTTTATGTTACGATAAGAAAGTTCTTTTTTATGTTTCTTATCTTAAATTATTCAATACTGCATTATATGATTAATGAACAGAAAATGAACAAAAAGGAATATTTGTTATCATGACATATTATTATCATGATGCAAGATGATTTGCATAAACAATTTCTTTTATATCGCAATTCAATTTTCGAAATAAATCGTGGTCAACTTTCATATTTCACACATTTTTTTAATGACAAGAAATCGACTTTTTCGATCCGCGTTGGTTTCTTTCGCTTTCCAGCTGTTGTGTACTTAATTTCTATCATCATTCGATTAACATATATTTATTAATAACTAAGGAACAAAGCGATTATTCGTGAATGCTAGAAGCATATGCGATTGTATCAAGTACAAGAAATAAATGCATAGCAAGAGGTGTACATTTTTAATACAATTATTAAATTATATACACGAAAAATATTGCTTTGTTCGTTATCTTTTTATCATAAATATATATAATGGATATTAGTAAGAGATGAACAAGAGGAGAGACGATCATCTACAAAGAAAAGGATTTACCGGCGTGGTGGGGTCCGGAACAATGGCAACATATAGGGTTATTCCGCGGCCTTGGACAAAATTCAACGCTGTGTGGTTCGCCGCAGCGGACGCAGCGAGGCAAATGTCGGCAATTAGCGGCCACGTGCCAGAAACCCTGACATCGGTAGCATTGCAATACACTATCCGTTTGCGATATATTTTCTTGATATGCTTGTGGAATATTGTTTCCATCGTTTGCATATCGTGAGGGTATACCGAACGAGCATGCGGTGCCTCGCCACCAGCGTTCTGGAACAGCATTGAAACGAGCCACTTCGAAAAAGTCCAGACCTTGACGTAATAAAACTTCGTAATGACCCGCATCAAAAACCTAGGAGACAAAAGAGTAATATTTTTCACTTTTTATCAAAGTGTCAGTTATATTTATGATACATATATTTGTATATTCTTACATCATACTTATTTCAATGGTTATATATAACCGACTTTGTTTTGATCTTTATCTTAATCCTGACAAAAATAAAAATTAAAATGTAAAATGTAAGGGAAGAGTGATAGAAACGTAAATAAAGAGCTTCTATTAAGAAAATTGAGACATCATAAAAGAGGCGTTTACGCTTCTGTCGCTTTTCCCTTATATTCTCGGTTTTTAGTTTAGTCAGGAAATACGTTCATCTTTTATTGTACAAATAATGTCGACTGCTAGGTTTTTCGAAAGTTGACTTACAAAATCGGTTGTGTGTAGATGTTCTATAGAACTTCATTATGAGAACTGGTTTAGAATTGCATAGTATTCTACATTTTGTATGAATTTAAATAATGATATGATATGCGCATCTCATGTAAAATTAAAATGTACATGACAACTGTCATGTACATTTTAATTTTATCCTTGATGCTCGACAAGGAATGTTTCCATTGTTTTAAAATTACTATTTTTTTGTCTACACAATAGAAATGATAAGATATTATCATAGGCTAATTTAAAAATAGAAAATAAGCATTCTTTATACCTCTACTCGAACGAATTGTCGAGAACGTTCAACATTTCCTGCGACAATTCCTTGCTTTGCCAGAGCCGAATTTATATCCTGCAGCGGTATAGCCCATGGCACGTCTCTCAGAAGCACGGCTTGGCGATATCGGGAATCTCTTGCCGAAAATCGTGCTACCTGATGAAAGTAAATTAATAAAATATATCAATCAAAAAAATATTTAATTAACTTCTAGATTTTATTTAAAAGTATTTCAGTAGATTATTTAGTTCAAGAATTGACGTTTTAAATAATAATGATGTTTTAAGTAACATAATTGGCACAACAAATATAGCTTCAAAATGATACAATATTTGAAATATCTCAATAAAAAAAACACAAGGATACAATAAAATACACTAGAAATTTTTATATATATCTCAATTTTTTATATCTGTAACACACATTTTACAATAAGCCTTTTATTTAAACTTTAAGTCTTAAGCTGTATCTAAGAAATTGATCAGTTACAGTTGAATATAAGAAGAATAATCGACTATGATTAGTCAATTTTTTACGGTTTAAGATTTAAAGCTTAGATAATGGTTTATTGCAGGAAGTCTATATGTAATGTTATGTAAAATGCGTCGGGTAAAATCGAGTGTAAATAAACTTCGTACTTGCACTGGTCCTCCAAACACTCGAGCTAAGTCGCCGCGTTGCAAGAGTTTCTCGGCATCGTTTTCTCGTACGAAAGCAGCTATAAGACCACATGGAGTCTCAGAGACACGCCACATCGATAACGGCTCGGAAGCCGCTATAGCTTCTTCGAGATGAGTTCGCAGTAGTTCGCAATCTATTCAAGAAATGAATAATAAAATATTGATTTAAAACTAAAACAAGATTAATAGAAAATGTTAATGTTTGCTTATTTGAATGTTTTTATGTTATTCAACTGACATTGTGAATATTAAATTTCGATATAAATAGATATTATAGTCTCGTATTACTATTTAAATTAAATTAGTATATATTGATGAGTGCAAAAATTTGTGTTCGATTTATTATTTAAAATTCAAACAGATGCAATTTTGTTAAAAATAAACGAAATTTAAATTTAAAATAAAGAGTTCTAAATCTTGAAATCTCTACTTTCGAATGATTATTATATTTTTTATTAGGTGTACAATTTTGTTTCCGCCGTTTTTTTTCCGAAATTCGAGGCTTTATTGTAAAAAACTGGTTATACATTTATGATTCAAAGTATTGTCCATCGCTGGCCACTACTTTCTCCCATCTTTCGGGTAGCGTACAAATCCCGCGTTGAAAAAACTGGTCATCTTTTCTATCCACGAATCGATCCAATTTTTTACTTCTTTATAAGACCGGAAGTGCTGGTCAGCCAGGCCGTGTGCCATTGATTGAAACAAGTGATAGTCAGAGGGAGCAACGTTCTGGAGAATACGGCGGATGGGACTTCCCATTTCAACGTTTCCAAGTCTTGGCCACTTTCGCAACATGGGGTCGAGCATTGTCATGCTGCAAAATCACTTTATCATGTCTCTCGTTGTATTGCGGCCGTTTGTCTTTCAATGCTCGGCTCAAACGCATCAATTGCGTTCGATACCGATCGCCTGTGATTGTTTCAGTCGGTTTTAACAGTTCATAATACACTACGCCGAACTGGTTCCACCAAATACAGAGCATGACCTTGGAGCCGTGAATATTCGGTTTGGCCGTCGATGTGGAAGCATGGCCGGGAACTCCCCATGATTTTCTGCGCTTGGGATTATCGTAATGAACCCATTTTTCGTCCCCAGTCACAATGCGATGCAGAAATCCCTTCCGTCTTTGCCTTTCAAGCAGTTGTTCACAAGCAAACAAACGCCGTTCAACATCTCTCGGCTTCAATTCGTACGGCATCCAATTTCCTTGCTTCTGAATCATTCCCATGGCTTTGAGGCGTTTTGAAATGGCTTGTTGAGTCACTCCCAATGATCGTGCCAATTCTTCTTGATTTTGACACGAGTCTTGCTCAAGTAATGCTTCTGCATCTTCGAAAACCTTCTCTCTTCCACAGCTATGCCGGTCTTCGACGTCGAAATCACCGTTCTTGAAGCGTTGAAACCACTCACGACACGTTCTTTCACTAATAGCGGCCTAAGTATTTGAGAGCATTCAATGAGCCTCAGCCGCAGATTTCTTCATATTGAAGCAAAAAATTAAAACCTCCCGCAAATGACGAGAATTTGGCTCGTAAACTGACATTTTCAATCGAGAATAACTTTATGATGCAGACACAAATCGACTAATGTTTTTATGGGGTTATGTTGACAGATGCCCAAGTTTATTGTATGACGTCTATGATCTATTTATTTCGACCACCACTTACTGCTAAAGCCATCTATAGGAAAACGGCGAAAGCAAAGTTGTACATCTAATAATTTATGTGAGTTTTATAATTTTTTACATATAGAAAATTACGAGTTAAGTAAAACGAAAAATTTTTTCTTCATTTTGTGGACCTGTCACATATCTAAAAAAATTTGCAATTTTTGAATTTCTAATGTAAAAGCTTAAAGTTTTCCCTAAATAAAATCGTTTTTAAAAAATGTCCGATTTTTTGTTACTGAATTGTTGCGAATTAAATAAAAAGAATATTTTGTTACTTTACTCATAACTCCATCAAAACTCATTTTATTTAAAACAACAGATTCTTAAATTCTCTCATCAGATAAAGTAAGATTTAGATTTTATTTTATTTTTAATAAAAAGCAGCTGTTTGAATTTTGAATAAATTGAACACAAATTTTTGCATTCACCTATAATATAGTCCATAAATGTACTATAAATTAGATAGTAGCAGTTTTCTTCAGAATGCAGCAAATATTGTATTATTACCTTGGATCCTATGATCTTGTTCTTGAAAGCCGCCAGCACGTGAAATGTATAGAGAACACGTAAACTGTGCCTGCTGTTGCATAGCAGGAGCTTCATTACAGTGCGATGTCGGATTTAAATCTCTTTTATCTGTCTGATGGTTATTGTCTCCAATCTTGCTTTGCAATGAAGAGTTTGCTACAGCCTTCTCCATTATGCGTGTCACGTACTTGTGACTGTAACTTGAATTTATACGTACAGATAGAATTAATTTTTTTGTACATAGTTTTCAATATATATATATATATACATATATCATGTATTAAAAATAAATGTGTTACAATATTATGCATAATCCATATCTCATTTCACCTTGATTATGGACAACAAATAATAAGAAGCAAGACTTACAATTAGAAAGAAAAAATTTATTTTTTTTGCAAATTAGATATTTGCGCATCATAAAGTGAGTAAATATTTATGTAAATAAATATTTTATGTACTAACAACCACGTTGATATGGTTGGCAATAATATGAAATGATTCAGGTCATTATTGATTGTGATAATAGTTACAAAAACTTCCATTACTAAATTATAAATAACTAGTTCTTAATAGTTCATTATCAAGACGATCATTACAGGTATATCTTTATACCTACTATATTTGGCCTTTTGTTATCGATACCTCGTATCACAATTATTTTGTATTTTTCTATTTTTTTTTCGTGCACAGTCGTTTCTTTGTAGCATTGTAATGTAATTTTTTCGTTGTAGGTGTATTTTAAATTTAATGCAAAAAGAAGGGTATGTGTTTGCTCATCATTCACGATAGTCGCCTTAACGCGATTTTGCGTTTGTAATTATATATAATATTATGAAATAAAAGTGTGATCATGATGAGTTACGATCGCGATCGCTCGAGGCTCGGTCGATCGATAGGCTCATTGAGATGGATGTAGCGAATCAGATCCAGGAATGGTGTCGATTTACCTTGAATGGCTTGTCTGTCTCCTCGTTAGCGCGGCAAAACGCAGCTCGAGCATCGGGAGGATCAGGGAAGAGAACGCGGCCCATGCTGCCAGGCGCCATTCGTCGCGTCTCGCCTTAATCGCCTCACTTCATGGCGATGATCGGCAACATTTAACGCCAACGTCACGCCATCGCCGCTACGTTCTATAAAATTAGACAAAGAAAATATCGAAACTGTAACGCATTTTCCTA